GATCAACGATCAGTGCAGGATATATGCAACCACGGAAGAGACGCACTTATCGGTTAGAAATGCAAGGACGAGCTCCAATGCAACGTTGTTATGCGTGTGATAGCGTGGATACCTCATTGGTCAGCGCGTATGACGCTTGTTACACCTCAACAGATGTATTGTCTCCGTGCTCCTCGATGCGGTCTCCAACCAACATGGGTGCCAGCCGGTCGTGAGGCTCAGGATTTGTCAATCGTCTCGAAGCTCCACATTCCTCTTCAGCTACGTAACCGACCCTGCGTTTCCGCAGAAGCTTCACGTCCCTCGGATGGCCTTCATGTCCGAGCGAGACACGGGGAAGGATCTCGACCGGTCATTAGGATACAGCGAGTCGTGTCCCTCTTCTTGCTTGTAAGTGGTGGAGTAGTAAGGCAGGGCGACAGAGACTGAGTTTGACCGTTTGCGCTCTGCTGCGGCATGGGAAACAGCAGCGTTGAGCTGTAATGAAGGCCAGGATGGCTTGGTTGATATCGAAAGCTTCTTTGCAGTGCGCGTTGCTATGCCCGAGGAGCGAGTGCTGGAGGCGTCGAGCGAGGGCAAGGACGACGGGGAAGTAGAGGACATGGCTGTGTTCGGTCTGGTTGAGGGAGATGGGAGGGGACGGCGCTCGTTGAAGGGGAGTACTGGGAGTTGATGTTGGCGAGGTTGGAGGTGTGGAGGCAGCGGGAGGGGGGTCAGTGACGGGATAGCTGGTGGGAGGAAGGCGACGTGTGAGGCCCCGTCAATGACAGATGATGGAGAGGCGTCATCTGCTAGCGTGGCAAGAGGGAAGATATCGGGGGAGGTAGGAAAGGCTGGTGGTCGTTGTCCGAAGATGGGGGACGGCAGAGGCTGATTTGGAGAGGCATTCGACGAGAGGGGAGTGCTCGTTCAGACATTTCCGGGTATGGGGAGAGGGAGAAGGGTAGAAGGTTGGAGAGCATCAATGGTAGTGAGTCGGAGCGTATGCGGAGTAGAAGCGCGTGCAACGTTGCCAGACTCTCTTGAGCCTGTGGTAATGGATGGTTGAGTAGTGGATTCAGCCTGTTGAGCGCCATCAGCAGCTGGAGGAGGTTGCACCGTACCATGCCCGCGATTGCGGAACGATGAAATGCTTGTGTGGTTCGGCTTTCTTCTCGGGGTTCGAGATCCTCGCAGAGTTCGTAGAGGTAGAAGTAGCCAAGTCGAGCGGGTCGTCAATAGAGGCCCCGTATGAAGCCTTGCAGAACAGCAAACAGCATCCGCTGAGACCTGTACTTCAGCATGAAGATGGTAGCAGTGTATAGAACGCTCTAAGCGACGGCGTGAACAGAAATGGCACCGTTCAGCTGAGCTGCCGGACGTCGGCGCGAACCTCCTCTTGTAATGTATATGCGGTCCATCCTGCAGACAATCAGTCCGATCTCCGACCTCCGTAGGAAGCTCTTCACTCACCAGCAGCGCGCACTTGGTTCTTCGTCGGCGAGGCCACCCGTGATCCTAGAGGCGTGGACGGGGATAGCGCTGGGTACTGAGAGATCCTAATTTCTGGGACAATCGGTTCAACGGATGCGATCTGGACAAGTGGCATCACCGGTCAGTGCGGGAGACACAAAGCCAGGAAACATGGTCGTCTGACTGAAGATACGAGAGTTAGCTGTTCAGGCAGAATATCGACAGCGACGTCCGACGTACCAGGTGTTGTTCATATGAACTGCGCGCCTACTTCATTTGTGAGCGTCAGTACGACTTCTATCCCCCGTTATGTCGGCGCGTAGATAGGTAGAGATGATCCGGATCTTGCTCAGCAATCGAGTCGATCCTCTGAGGGACGGGATAACAGGACATCAGCCCATCTAGTCAGTTTCGCTTGGGCGTTTAGATCGGGGCTTCGCCACTGCTGCCAATGAGAGGCAGGACATCAGCACTGAAGATCGTTGCGATGCTGGATCAGGACGCTAATGTAACGGGATTGACGACATCGAACTACTTTCTTTCTTCGAATAGCGCGTTCTTCTCATTTAGAGGGATGGCGATGAAGTCATGGAAATGGCTCGAGAGGTGCAGTGCAGCGAGTTAGTTGTGAATCGGAAGTACGAGGACATAACTTGGTACCCAGCTCGGGTCATCACAGCTGTCGCAAGCGGAGGGAGGGATCTTGGAATGAATGAGCCCTGAGAGATCCTATCACATGATTCACGGATGATGCATGGGGAAGTATGCGGAAGTACGTACTCGAAGGTCCACTCTGTGATCCGTGAGTGGCATTCAAAGATGATTGAGGGCCGGCATCAGTCGATCAAGCTTCTGGGTTCGGCCTGATACACCGGAGATCGTCTAATGGGGCAGAGTAAGCTGTCCGCACCCGAGGTTAATGTAGTAGGGTAGATGGAAATGTACTCAGCGACAATGTGGGGGATGACAAGGGGGCGGGTGGACGAAGGAGAGAGCGAGATGTAGACAGCACGTTCACCTATATATACGCACCGCCCCTTGGAATGCATCGACTGGAATTATCCCAGAGAGCAGCAAACGGTCGCATTCAACAAAACGTGACCATACATGTATGCACGCGAGCTTGGAATAAGTCGTCTCAGACAGCACAACAGGGGCCAGCTAGAAAAAGCTAATGAGCGGCCGGGCCGTTTGTCAGAAACACAGATACTCACCTTGGCGCATACCAAGAAGCATGTCGGTACTATTGAGCGCTGTAAAACGAATCAGGACGCTTATGTAACGGGATTGGCGACTTCCCACCAGATGCCCTCTATTAGCATTGTGTTCTTTCATTTGGCGGGATGTCGGTCCTGGTCGGGGTGGTGCCTGGAAGAAGATGGTCATGAGCGGCCGGATCGTTTGTCAGAAACACGGATACCCACCTGCGTAACCAGCTGAGGTCGTCACACCTGTCGCCAGAATAGGAAGGATCATCGGTCTCGGTGAGCGCTAGTATATGCTATCAGGTACCTCAGGTGTAAAAGATGCAGAGGTATGCCTAGGGACGTACTCAAACATCCACTGCTTGTGCGCTGGATGGCACCCTAGACGATCGCGTGGGGCACGGTCGATGATGTGTCTGTTCGGAGCGATGGATGGGTATTAACCCACGGTCGGCTGTATATAGGTAAGGTTAGCAAGCCCATAAGAGAGACGGAACGTGTACTTAGCGGCAAGGGAGGAGGAGGGCCAGGGAGGGGATGATGAAGGTGGACGAGGAGGAGAAAAAGACGTAAACAACACGTATACTGAGGATCGTTGCGATGCGGGTTCAGGACGCTAATGTGACGGGATTGGCGACATCCCACTACTTTCTTTCTTCGAGTAGCGTGTTCTTATTTGGAGAGATGCCGATGAAGTCATGGTATTGGCTCGACAGGTGCAGTTCTTGAGCGAGTGGGTTGTGAATCGGAAGTACGAAGACATAACTTGGTACCCAGCTCAGGTCATCACAGCTGTCGCAAGCGGAGGGAGGGATCTTGGAATGAGTGAGCCCTGAGAGATCCTATCAGGTGGTTCACGGACGATACCTGAGGAGGTATGCAGAGGCACACACTCGAAGGTCCAGAATGTGAGCCGTGAGCGATACCCAGAGATGACTGAGGGCTGGGCACTGGTCGATGAAGCGTCTGGGTTGGAGCTGATACACAGGGGATCACCTAATCCGGCAGAGCAAGCTGTCTGCACCTGAGGTAAAAAGGTGGAGGAGATGGAAACGTACTCAGCGACAATGTGGGGGATGACGAGGGCGCGGGTCGACGAGGGAGAGAGCGAGATGTAGACAGCACGTTTACCTATATATACGTACCTGCCCTTGGAATGCATTAACTTGAATCATCCCAGACAGCATACAGCCGCATTCAACAAAATGTGACCATACATGTATGCATGTGAGCTTGGAATGAGTCGTCCCAGATAGCACAGGGGACAGCTAGAAGAAGCTCATGAGCGGCCGGGCCGTTTGTCGGAAACACGGATCCTCAACTTGGCGCATATGTAGCAAGAAGCATGTCGGTACTGTTGAGCGCGGTGAACCGAATCAGGACGCTTATATAACGGGACTGGCGACTTCCCACCAGATGCTCTTTATTAGCAATGCGTTCCCCAATTCAGGACGATATGAATCCTAATCGAGATAGTGCCTGGAAGAAGGTGGTCATGAGCAGCCGCATCGTTGGCCGGAAACACAGATACTCACCTTCGTAACCAGCTGAGGTCGTCACATCTGTCGCCAGAATTGGAAAGGATCCTCAGTATCGGTGAGCGCTAGTATGTGCTATCAGGTGACAGATGCAGAGGTATGCCAAGGGACGTACTCAAACGTTCACTGCTTATGCTGTGTAGGTGGCACTCTAGATGATCGTGTCGGTCACGGTGAATGGAGCGTCTGTTCGGGGCGATGGATGGGTATTAGCCCACTGTTTACTCCAACGATTGAAGTCGAGATCCAAATCCACGTACGACTCACGGCGTCAAGAGTGCCGTATATTCCAGAGTCAGTCGACGAGAAAGAACGTGCTGATGGGAAAGGTGGTTGTACGCGCTGAGAACCGGGAGCCGGCACGATGGTGGCAGCAATGGAGGGTACGCTCCCAGTGATAGTCTGAACGGTGATGATATCGTTCAGCTGGGGACGTCAGCGTTTACCTCGTCCTCTCATGTGGGGTCCACGCTGCAGACAATGAGTGCGATATCTGACACCCGCAAGAAACTCTCCACTCACAGAAAACTCGCAACAGGTTCTTCATCGGGATGAAGCGAACGAACCTGGTGCTGAGCGATTCGTATTTAGGTAGCAATTGGTCCATGATCTGAGCGAGTTGGACCAACGGACAGTTGCAGGACATATCCAATTAGGAAAGAAACGCACGAATATGGGTGAAAATCCAAGGGCGAGATGCGATGCAACAGTTGTTGTTCGTGTCGATCGTGTCAGGGCCAACCACTGTTATGTTCGACCGGGGGTAGAGATGACAAGTATCCCACCGAGATGTCCTCCAGAACGGGATGAGAGAATCATAACCCGATGGATGGCAAAAGAAGCTCATGAGCAGCCGGACCGTCTACCACCAGGAAGGTGCGGGAACCACTGACCGAGACTGGGAGATAAGCATGCACAGCTGCCTCAGAATAGCAAAGGTCCGCTGCTCGACCGAGCCGGCGACGGCGAAGTGCGACGCACCGGCGTTGTCCATTTCGGTTGGCTGCTTCATTGGTCAGCGAGTGTGTTACAACGTTTCCTATTCTCACCTGGATCCCGTCACGGATAATCTCTTCGGTGTCCGCCCGAGGGTAGGTAGAATGTTCCGAATCTTGTTAGTAATTGAGTCGTCCTTAGAACTGGATGAGAGAAATAACGACCTGAGTCGGGCAAGTGCCTTATCGAAGAAGATCATGTGCGGCCGGGTCGTCTGTAGGAAACACGGAGGCTCGCCTTGGCACCTAGCGCAGTCTTCATGTCTGTTACTTGCTGGCGGGGATAAGGATGTCGGAACCGCCGAGCGCTGCAAAACGAATCAAGACAATCATGTGACTGAAATGGCGAGATACCCTCTTGTCCCAATACGTTCTTCGGTTGGATAACGAGTGTGATCGCGATTTGGGCTGGACAGAAGCGGCTCATGAGTGACCCCGGTGATCGTCGGAAACATGGGGACTCACCTGTCTACCCAGTCCTGTTGTCACACCTATCTCAAGTGTTGGGAAGGAGCCTCGGTATCGATGGCTCGAGTCTTCACATCGGTTGACAGCCGGAAGAAGCATGTCGGTGGTGTTGAGCGCTGTAAAAAGAACCAGAACAATCATGTGGCGGGATTGGCAACATCTCACCAGATGCCCTGTTGCACTAGCGCGTTATTCAATTCGGTCGGATAACTAGTGTGATCGAGATAGCGGCTGGGCAGAAGCAGCTCATGAGCGACCGGGTCATCGGAAACACAGGATGCACCTGCGGGGCAAGCTGAGGGCGTCACCCATGTCGGTGGGTTTGGGAAGAAGCCTCGTATCGATGTGTATTGGCACATGCTATCAGGTATCTCAACTATGGCGCATGCAGAGGTATGCTGAGGTACGTACTCGAACATTCACGCAGGTGGCACTAATCGAGTCGGGCACGGTCGATGATGTGTCCGTTCGGGGCGATGGATGGTTTAGTGCGAGGACAGCTATACGCAGATATATATAAGGTTAGAATGTTCAAACAAAGACGATGCGAGAGAGAAGACTTGTACTCAGCGGCAAGGGAGGAGGAGGCCAGGAAGGGGGGAAGATGAAGGTGGACGGCGAGAGAAAGGGGTGTAAACAACACGTTCAACCAAGCGTCGCCATATATATGCACGCACAAGCTCAAGATGGGTCCATTTGGATCATCCCAGACAGTAAACAGGTTCGTTCATCAAAACGTGACCTTTGACATAAGCGGCGAGCTTAGAATGCGTCGAGTTGATTCGTCTCAGACAGCATCGCGAGCTCCGATCACGTCTCAGCATTTTCTTCTGTATGATATGGCCCGTATACACACACATCGGCACGACCAGACGGAGGAAGAACAACCAGCAGATTCATCGTTCTAGTTCTCGGCGAGATCCATATCAAAGTTCGCCTGGTTTCGGCAGCAGCAGTGTGACCGTCTGGGGTAAAGAGTCTGAAGAGGTCACAGGAGGCCCATGCACGCGCATAGAAAGATTGATAGCAGATCCAGGACCTCACGTTGACAGTGTACTCGAGAAAAGCAATCAATGGACATATTTGTTTGAATTTATATTACGTTGGGCTGAAATATCGATGACTTGTTACACGAGGTATGCGCTTATGTAATTGATGCTTGAGATTAAAGGCCGGAGCCGAGGCCAGGAAGTGGCGTGAAAAGGGGCCAAGAGGCTGAACCCTGCTCTGTGACGGGCAGACGTGAATTCTCTCTCCACGATAGTATCAGCGGCTCGGTCCCAATGGGCGATGAATACGAACAAAAGCCAGCGTTACAGAACGCAGCATACGTGGGCTTGCAGAGCGCTGGTGTTGGGCTGCTCGTGAGCTCCGTTCAGAACGCGTTAGGGACGCACAACAGGGGAGCGGCGGGTGTCCTCACACGCACTGGTGGCACGATTGGTTTTTTCGGTACTTCCTGTCGTTCTTTATTAGCCTATACAGGCTTATATCAATCGTCGTATAGCGGCCATGGGCGCTGTCTTTGCATATACAGAAGGGGCGGTGGGCAATGCGAGGGGCAGCGACGATGCATGGAACGGGGCGATCGGAGGCTGCGCAGCTGGCTTCCTTGCAGGAATCCGAGGTACGCCATTTTTAGTTCAACAAGCCATATTAAGGTGCTCATTGTAGCTCAGCACGATCCATTCCTACTGCTGTAGGTTCATGCGCACTCATTGGCGGACTTGTTGGGGTATTTGACATGACTGGGAAGAACTTGGGTGGAGATGGTAGAGGCCGAGAGGGGGTGACACAGAAGGAGGAGAGAAGGACAGCCTTTTTCAAGAAACCACGACTACTCACCGCAGAATGAAAACTGTGAACGGGCGCTACAATTGTCATAGACACTAAATAATCCACCATCCACCGTCTACGACCGAGGTCTTTTCGTGGAGTTGACCGTACTCAGTGTTCCCAACATTTCACTCCGCTCTCTCTTCCGAGAAGTTTTCCCAGGTAGTTTCCGCCCATATGTCTTTGGAGAAGATCGCGCTTCCAAGAGAGCAGTCATGGCTTTGGTTCTTTGAAATCTGGAAGAGGGAGCACACAAAGTGAGAAGGGTTGGCTGAGTTGGACGAAGCAGCTTACTTCGGATGACTAGGATCGAGCCCAAATGCTGTGTCCTCATGTAGAGGATTAAATCGTGGATCACTCACATCAAGCACGAACGTGTCATTATCCGTAATCTGCGACTTCTTCTTTCCAATGTGCCTCTTCTGCACATTCGCTTTTTCTGCACGCAGGATTGCGTGCATGTCAAAGTGTACCGTCCGCTCAATCCCTGAGTCGAGAATGAGCGCTAGTTCCTCTTTGTCGGGAAGGAGAGCTGCAGGCTGCTCAGTTTTGTTCCAAGGGCGAGAGTCGGCGGCTTCAAAGAAGTCGTCATTGCCTGGCGGAGCAAAGGTGTCGAGCAGCTTGTTGCCTACTCTTCGCTCTTTCTGTTTTTCTTTCATTTTCCGTTGATACCGATACAGAGTCGTCTCCTCACGGTCGCTTTCTTCTTGTGCGGCAGCATCCGTTAAACCAGGCATGAAGGTAACCTCCATATCAGCTCTGCTCTTGAAGGCCTTTCCAAATGCTTGTTCATCTTCACCGTTGAGACCCAGTAAGAGGTTTCGAAGTTCGTCACGTCTCGAAGGCTCGTCATCGCTGATATTCTCACTGTCCGATGAAGCAATGTATGCCCTGAAATCCGCTTCATCCGTGTCCTTGTGTGTGAAGGAACGGCGGATAAACTTCTTTCTCCGTGGGTCGTCTTCGTCCCATGTCAGGTTCACTTTTGAGTGTCGCAAGGCCTGTTGAGAGGGAGTGAGAGTTCATCTCTGCTGTGCCTCAGATCGACCTAACTGTTGTTGAGAAGTCCAAAGTATCCATCGAGCTAGTAGATTGCGTAGCTTCTTCTCGACACTCTGTTGCAAATTCCATGCCATCTGGAACAAAGCTTAGGTCAATAACATTGGCAGTTCGCTCGAGTTCTGTTCCATCTAGCTCGCGATATATGAGAGATGCTGTTCTTGGTGTGTCGCACGTGACTACGGCGTAGAAGTACCTGAATGAGTGTAAGGCGCATCAAATCTACAGGAACAATCTGTTACCTTAAACGATCAAGCTGATATCTACGCAGGGCATCGTTATCATATTCTTCGCCATTGTCGACTTTTATGACATTATCGACAGATATCGCTATTGCGCTCGATTGCCATCGTTTGAACACCTCTGGAGGAGGACCTTCTCTCTCCTCTCGCTTTAGCCGCTCTTTTCCAAAGTCACTGAGATATATGCCAACATGGAGGACCTTTCCGTCTTCTTGACCAGTTTTCGAACCCTGGGCCCCCAGTACAGAGGAAAAGACCATGTACAAGTCGCTCGCCCGGATGTGATCCCAATCAAGGTTAACGACGGCCAAGCGACATGTTTCTTTTCCGGAGACACCACTAGTAACAGGTTCTATGACGTTGGCCGAGTATTCAACTACATGAGCTTCGGGTTCAGCGGACGCGTCCTCGTCCAAATCAATGTGGCCGCCGTCTGGTGGGATGTGTTTTTCACGAGCCCGTTTGGGATGCAGTATCACACTTTCCTCGTCGCTTTCTCTTGGAAGTCGACTGTCGTGTCCTTCCTCTTCGTCTTCTGAACTCTCGGCCAGAATTGCCCCGCGAGCGAGGTCCGACTCGACATTACTCTCGTCCTCAGCTTCAAGCCGGTAAAAGCGACGAAGTTGATCTCGGGCATGGAGTTTATGTTGGCGCCTTCCATATCTGTCAACTAAACCACAAAGACACGGGAAATGAGCGTTTAAGGTCGCCATTGTGACGTCGCACACACCTGATGGACCGGACTGCGGGCCTAACTTTTTGTCCTGGAAAAGCGATTTGAACCGGGGATCAACCTTGACTTTGACGTCCTTCTTGCGAAGACGCCTGAACCTTGGATCTGTTACGAGAGGGGAGAATCTGGAATCGCTTTCGGCCATGACGTGGTACAATGGAGGGATGAATTTGACCTTATGGGCACGTTAAGCAAATCTTTCGGCTCCGGGGTCAGAACTATTATAATCACATGCTGGATGGCGATGCATCTCCCCAGGGTTCTGGCGACCCGTGTGCTTCCGTCACAACGCCGTATTCCCTTCGTCGTTCGTCCCCAAATGTTTTCAATTGAGGTTTCCACGCCGTTGCTGTTCTCAACCGGAAGGTGACCTGACTTCGTGCTCTGACAACCGTGCAACCGGGAGTTGCTTTTGTCCAAATGGAAGGAAGCCTCCGTAGTCCTTTTAAGTACTGCAAACTTAGCGGTTAGAGGTATCCATCCACCTTTCCAGTTCCCCTCTCCCTTCTCGCCTCTTTCAGGTCACAGGTGGCCACCACTCACCCTGTAAGATGGACATCATTTGCTGTCTGCTGTTGAACATGTCGCTGAAGTTTAGTTGCAGTCCTTTCAATCTCCTATTTCAGTTCGCCGGTCGGACACCTCGATATCGTTTCCGACTGTCCATCCTAGGCCTTTTCTTCGACGTCAAGATGTTGCTCAGTATCCAGGTTTTCCTCCTACTTTCTGTTTCGGCTATAGCTCGGCCAATCGTGCCCATGCCATTGATAGTATGTGACCTGCATGGCAATGGAGCGCATTTCAGAGAACTCAACATCCCACCTTACAGGGTCGTTACAACGCTGGCATTGCTCGCTCTGCATCTCCGTGGGTGCATTTTATAAAGATATATCAATGGGACTGACAGGGTATCTTTAGCGATGGCGTGATTCTTTCATATGCGGCACGAGAGCGTGCATTGGATATCAATACACTAATTGATGTGCGGAATCCCTCGCCCAGAATGCTATACTGATGTAGTTGACCGCATGCACAGAGTGATCCGACAACCGCGAAGAATGGCATCATAAAACCGTATCAGGGCACCGTAGAGAAACGACTAGATGTCAACACCATCGGCGATGCGAGTACTGTTTCCATTCATCCCGACGGGACTGGCGTCCTGACTGCTAATATTTCAGAGCACCCCTACGACTGCCGAAAACGGCATTATCAAGCCATACACAGGAACGGTGGGGCGTAGCTTGGATCTCAACACGCTCGGTGACGTGAGAAACCTTCTCGACACATCTCTAAGCAAATCTAAATAGATCTCAGAGCGACCCTACGACTGCCGAAAACGGGATTATCAAGCCATACACGGGCACAGTTGGGCGTGGCTTGGATATCAACACGCTCAGTGATGTAAGGCGCTTTCTCGACACGTCTATAAGCAACCTAAATATATATACATTAGAGCGCGCCGACGACTGCCGAGAATGGGGTTATCAAGCCGTATACTGGAACAGTGGGACGTGGCCTGGATGTCAACACGCTCACGGATGTAAGGAACGCTAGTGCTCACTGTGCGTCTGAATTGATCGGGAAGCCAGAGCGCGCCTACGACTGCAGAAAATGGGATTATCAAACCGTACACAGGAACAGTTGAGCGTCGGTTGGACGTCAATTCCATCAGCGATGTATGTGGTCAGCTTACTCTGAGAGAATTGTCTGACAATTTTATAGAGCGAGCCTACGACGGCACAAAATGGAGTAATCAAGCCATATCAAGGCACCGTGGAGCGCGTTTGAGGTTGTGAAAATGTATGGCAGGTGACGAGATGCAAGGACTGGTTGAGTAGTGCACGAGTTGTGGTTGATCCCAACGCGATGTGAAGCGGCCTGCGTAGGACACTGCAGAATGATATTTGGTTCCAAACTGGATAGCGTGTTCTGCATTTGTTTACTGTGAAGAGGTGATATGAGAGAGGGAAGGCGCTCAAGCTGGAGCGTGGTTTTTGGTACTGGTACTGGACCATAGATTCGAAAGAAGGTCCAGATGGTGACAAAATACAGGGTGTACATGCCCCGATCAACCCATGCAAAGCTTATCCCGTGCTGACCAAGTGTGAAGGTGACGAGTCTAATTAACGCGCACGTTTCATTTGGAAAAGTGAAGGAACATTTAAACAGAAAATATGTTTCAGTGATCAGACCACGAATTAGAGGAAATAAACGCTTCAGCTTCAACACCTACGGCGCAGCCAGTCATACGTCAACAAAGGAAATGGATCTGGGATGTTTGAAGGACCCTTAGAAAACTTCCGTTCTACCCACCTCACGAGAATCTCATCGTGCAAGAGTGACCCCTACGTTGTCGACGCTATCTGCATTATCCTGCTGTGAGTGTCATTCTTATCTCCATTGCGTGTGTCCAAGAGCCCGAACATTCTATCTGCACAAGCATTGAGGCAGAATGAGGGGGAAATAGGGTGGATTGCGTTGGGCTGCGGTGGATGCAGTTCCTGTGAGCATGATACTGATGTCTTTCGCCAGGCTGTGACCTCTACACTATATCAACATGGCGCAACCCGTTCAGACCTTCGGTAAGAAAAAGGTCAGTTACTGCCTTTCTGTCCAGCAACAGGTCAGTTGATCCTTGTCTAGACCGCAACAGCAGTTGCACACTGCAGTGCAGGGAAAGGTCTTATTCGTGTCAATGGCGCCCCCCTCAGTCTCGTCCGCCCAGAAATACTACGCTACAAGCTCTATGAGCCCATCCTCGCGGCGGGTGGAGAGGATGTCATATCTGAGATGGATATCAGAGTCCGTGTGAAGGGAGGTGGACATGTGTCCCAAATATACGCCATACGCCAAGCGATTGGGAAAGCCATCGTGGCATACTATGCCAAAAATCATGATGCCTTCACGGCGATTGACCTCAAGTCCAAGCTGGTCGACTACGATAGAACTTTGTTGATTGCAGATCCCCGCCGGATGGAGCCAAAGAAATTTGGTGGCCAAGGTGCGAGGGCCAGGAGGCAGAAGAGGTATGCAAAGCAATGCTGTTGGTTTCGACTTGTTACTGATGGTCTACAGTTACCGTTAGCGGCCAGTGTGATCATTCGCATGTTGTTGCACGTACCTGTATGGCCATGGTCTCCTTTTATGCAGTTCATTGTCAAACACTTCCCTCTCAATGACTTCCTTCACCGACATCCAAATCCCCGACATATCAGGTACCACCGCCATGTCACTGCTAAGAGTCAGGATCGCGCAGTGTTGAGCAACACTAGCAGTCCCTTGCACGCTGTTCAGATCCAGGTTCCATTCAGCTCGGAACAAGCTCCAACAATGCCCCTGAATAAGAATCACTAACGCCGGGGAAGTTGACTCGGATATTTTGAGGGAATCGTTTGGGGCATAGTGTTCAGCCACTGTTCTCCCGTTCTTAGCGTGAGCAACGACCAATCGGCCCATGATGTCGCTCCCCGAACTCGCCAGCCTGCGTCAATTGCATCCTGGCCATTCAAGTGACGTACGAACAGCGAATGCATTCAAGGTTATAGATCTTAACGCACAGCAGGGACTTGCCTCTCTTCACATTCCTCGATTGAAGCGAGTTGCTAGGGAACATCGAAGTTTCGCTTCTGGTGACTGAACAGGCCAAGGAACTGCGAAATGATGCTGTTTAATGCGGTGTTTCGAATGACACATGAGGGTTTGATTCCGAACGTTTCACGCCTGCTCATCATATCATAATTGACGTCCTTCCAAGTGGTGTGTCTGAGGTGAGCAGATACATGCGAAAACAGATCTATAGCATGATACCGTGAACAGACATTTTGGTTTGCGGTTCTATCTTCCTGCTCGGTCTCCGTTATGTCTACCGCATCATGTGTCACGCCAAGTTTCTCATCGAGAACGACCACTGTGGATGGAGACATTTGTGAGATCACGGAGAGAGACCTCGATCTTGTCACGGTGATGCAAAACATTAAAGATGAGGGGGCTGGAGCCCTCGTATTTTTCGCTGGTACTACGAGAAATACTTTCGAAGGTGAATGCACTGCGAGAGATTGTTTCAGTTGTCTTCAGCTGACAAAAAACTGAAGGCAAACAAGTGATTCGACTTGAGTACGAGGCCCACACCACATTGGCACTGCACACTATGAGCAAAATCATGCTTAATTTACGTGCACACAACGCAGACTTGATTCGATTGGCTTGTCACCATCGTATTGGCAACGTACCCGTTGGCGAGTGCTCTATCATTATAGCAGTTTCTGCACCCCATCGAAAGATCGCCTTCCTCGCCTGTGAGACGTTATTGGAGGAAATCAAGGCGAATGCGCAAATCTGGAAGCGCGAGTATTACGCGGGGGGTGAAGCTTGCTGGAAGGAAAACGGACAAGTGTCCCAGTAACTTCATGTCAGATGTTATCAATTTTGACATATATGTAAGCATGTTATCGGCGCAAACGTAAGTTAGTGTCGAAAAGGAATTACAACCATGTACGAAGTCAGCGCATGGTTGGCATATCGACCGATGCCTTGTTGGCCGTGGCGTCTTGTGCACGCCAGAGACTGGTTGTTGTCTACGGCAAAGGTTAGGACGTATTAGCATGCATCGCATTGTATCCAATTACCTTGTTGTGCGTGTAGAAATTGAGGCCACTGGCAGGGGTTGAGTAAGGTTCCTATCTGAGAAGGAAGACAGATACCTTTTCCCATAGAAAGAAATATCACCAAGGACGCTACCTTTGTTCCCGCTCCAAGAGAACATAGGCAATGGCACAGGTATCGGTACATTCACACCGATCTAGAAGACGTCAGTGTCTCGTTAGGCCTCATACACCTCGACTCACTTGACCAACATTACACTCATACTCGAACTTGCGAGCTGCAGCACCCGATTGGGTGAAAACAGCGGCACCGTTACCTATTAAGTTTATGAATGTAGGCAGGAGGGTGCGTAGGAGGGCTCGTGCCCACCATAGTAATTGGCATTAACGATATCCAGAGCATCATCCAATGTATCAGCTTCCAGGCAAACAAGGACAGGGCCAAAAATCTCAGTTCTATAAAAGTGAGTGTGACATAGACACATAAAGGCCTACCCACTTGTAACATTCCATTGTGGTCACAGCTTCAATCACGGTGGGTCCAACAAAATTACCATGCGGATAATTGGGCACATTAATTGAACGACCGTCAAGCAGGATCCTGCCTCCTTCATTTTCAGCGGAGCCGATCAAGCGCACTATCCGCTCTTTCGCCTGTGGAGAGATGACTGGCCCACTTAGAGATCGTGAGTACGCAAGCACAGCTCGTACGCAACGACATACAAGTCAGCACCAGGCTCAAATCCAGCATTCACATTGAGTTTCTTTGCCCGCTCCACGAGTTCTGGGAGCCACTGTTTAGATGGTCCAACGAACACAGCTACAGTCCTCGCATCAGCATGAAACAGGGGCCCATCTTTGCCAGACGCGCCGACAGAAATTGCCATGCACCGCTGGCCGGCCGCTGTTTTGTAAGTGAGCAAACTGAGTACAAAACCATGACCAGACACCTACCACCAAAAGCAGCCCCTATGATTGAATTGAGGGCAAGGTTGGGATTTGCTGTTGTAATTTAGACACGAACGAGTAGAACGGGGTGACCCGCACCATCCGGTAGTATGACAGCATGGTTTTTGGCACCAAGATTCGCCTGCATCATTGCTATTAACTGAGAATACACAGTCGCTTGGAAATGATTTACTTGCACTCGCTTGCCATTCATCGTACCACTGATAACGAGAGGTGGAGCTCGTCATTCAAGAGATAACGCCGTCAAGAGACAGAAACTGACCGTTGATAGATATGCTTTCCCGCACGGTCACCGCCCACAAAGCTGATGGCCTTGATTGCAGGATGGTCGCAGATTGCGTTCACTGTTGGCACCGTCCCATGGACAACGTTGAGCACGCCAGGAGGAAGACCTTGGCACTATCAGAAGGGTCGTTGTACAATTTGGGGTATCGCCCCACCTGCAAGCTCGCAAAGTTCGGCAATGATCATTGCAGCTCCTGGATCGCGCTCGGAAGGCTTCAGAATCAGTGTGTTTCCTGTCGCTGCGGCCATCTGCATGCCAACGTTTAACAATACCCTTCCTCTATGTAGAAAGGAAGCGAAGGCTTCATCACTGACCGGAATAGTCCAGAGAGGTATCATGCTGTAATTATTGAGCCTTCTGTTCCTCGAGAGCACTAAGAGGGCTTACGCAGGAAAGTTGAAAGGGGCAACGCTGACGTTTTGTGAGTGTACAACACAAGCAAGAGACTATTCGGCACACCTCGCACAGACACCAAGAGGCAAGCGACGTGTCTCTGTGTCCATATTCTTGCTGACTTCGATTTTGTCACCCATGAGGGTCGAAGTGATGCTACAAGCTGTTTCTACTACCTGAAGACCACGGAGAACGTCGCCTTTGGCATCTCCAAGAGTTTTGCCTTGTTCCAAGACCTCAAAACATATGAATACATTGTGCATACATTTTGCACGCGGAGTACACACGATAGAATTTGCTAGGGCGTCTCCATGCTTGCGGAGCAGATGTTGAAGCCTGCCAGCCCTTTAGCGCTCTGACGATGATTCGTTGTACGATCATGCTCACTCCAGAGCCATTCGCTGTCTGGTCAAGATACTAGTCTTGCTCCAAGTCTTGTAAGCATGGACAGCAGCCGCAGTTGCTTGCTCAAACTCGTCAGTGGTCGTTTCAGGAACCTGAGAAAGCAAGGTTTGCGTGGCCTATCAAAGGTTACATCAGATGGAGTGAGACTGATAGATTGATAGACAGGCACGGGGTCGCAGATATCATGGAATTTGGTGGCCTTGCTCTCGACAAACTCTCCGCCAATGTAATTCTTGACCTTCCCGCCCGCATGGCTCGTGCCTTTCCAGTCTTCTGTCAATTGTTCAGCAATGGAGCGAGCCTGGGGTGTTAAGCCTTCCAGCGGAGGTCGAGCATAGAGGGCGTAATATCTGAGGTGTCGCCCGGTGTGGAGAGAAACAGGCCGTCTGTACATGACAACAAGGAAGGTTGAGGCAAAGGAGAGCTGTGAGGATTTGTTTCGCTGTTCAGGCTTCCTGTGTCCTGTGAACCCCTCCACATTTGGCAACCGGCAACTGTAGAACCCTTTCCCGCATACCTTGGCAGGCCCAAATTAGCCGCTATCTGACGTCCTTTCGAACGGAATCACCCCGTGTGTCCGTATCTACCTCACAATTTAAGGGCGACGGCTCGAAAGACAAGTACACAATCAGGGAAACGCTCATGCATGGTAGTCCTGGCATAAATCTCGACATACACCTGCAAACGATAAAAATGAGATCTGCTATCTCATTTCTTTTTAGCTGCCTCCTCCTCCTCCTTCTGCAGAAACAGGCACGGATCAGTCGGACATACTTAACAAGTTGAGACAGGCAGTGCACGAACCTTCTGCGCCCTAACCTTCCTCTTACCGGCATTGCGCTGGTCGGAACGAGCAATGCGAAGAGCACGGAAAGCCTCGAACTCCCGCTCCTCTTCAGTAATAGAACGGGGCTCCTCATGCACAAACGAAGGGGGAAGGGCAATAGGTCCGCGTTCGACATTCGCTTCGAGGTCAGCGCCCTAACCAGGGATTAGTGCTGGCATGCACATTGTATTGGGGGTGAACTTACGGTGGCATCACCCTTCTTGGGCTTGCTTGCTTTCTTTGGGAAGACGATCAGGCGGGTCTTGTATGCAGCCAGACGCTCTACGTTCAGCTTCTTTCCCTCTTCACTCAAATTCCTCCGCCTATGATCAACAGCAATACCGATGCTTCTCGCAACCTTGCGACTGATCCCCGCTTCCTTCAACTCTCCCAGGCTGAATCCGCGACCCTCGCGAACTTTGATGTTGTAACGGACAGTTTGCCCGCGAACAGCAGGGCGAAGCAAATCAAGCGGGCGGACCCCAAGAGAAGCCGCCTTCGTCTTGCGAGCATTGCGGCGGCGAAGTTTCCGTCCTGGCTGGTCAAACCAGGTCTTGACCCGCCGCTGCCAGTCCTTGCGAAAGTGATTCCCCGGAAGAGCGTTATTGTGCCCGATAGTCATCTTGAGACTGGAATACGATCAGTTTATATTCTGAACAACCGACTGAAAAGGGAGATCAAAGCGAGGGCCAGGGAGTGCATCCATGGATGCAGGTAGCAATCCATCAAATTATCCTTGGGATGTCCCCTAATTCCAAAACATTCAAGACCAGTATGGATCCTCTCACACTCCAGCTATCCAAGACGATGGCTTGACAAGAGAAATATACTCACAGAGATGGTTGGTCGGTGCTGCAGGGACGTTGAGATGAGATTTTGGTCGATGAGCGAAATGGCACTCCCGCGCTTGTTCGGAAGCAATTCCCTCAGGCACCGCCACTGTACTTCAAAGTCCCTTGTATGAGCGGGCGCACCACATTGGGTGGATCAGCGTTGAAAGCAATGTTTGCGCTCATTGCGCGAGGCCGCACTGTATGCCGTTTTCTCTTCTGCACTCCAATCTCTGATGATTATTGCATAAGGTTTCTGCACACGCCGCTCGACCCCTTCTCTCTTATGTACGTCTGGGGAGAGCAATAGTGCAGTCGGCGCAGTCAAGGAGGAATTCAACCGATGTCGAAGCGGGCTATCCGCACACCCAAGAGGGTCCTGGGGCACAATGGCTGACGACTTCTCTCCCTGAAATAACACCAAAGAGTGGTATCACTAGTGAGTAGATTGCCCTATTTGCGCACAGTCATGCTTAATCCATGACCTCAGCGGTTCCTTGGGAGCCGAAGCCGGTGTATGTGCCGCTGTCCTCCCTTCTCGTTCGGCAGCCCGGCCATCAACGAGCCTGCAGCAAAGTAGTCGCACTGGAACCTTCGGTCTTTGATCATCCCATTCGGCGCGATATTCTTCATCTTTGTGTCGTCTACCATCGCGACGCTCTGCGACAAGGAACTGCCGCTAACAAGAACCGCGCTGAAGTCAGTGGGTCCGGCAAGAAGCTGAGACCACAGAAAGGTACTGGTAGGGCACGGCTGGGTGATCGAGGAAACCCAATGCTTCGTGGTGGTGGTCGTGCGTTTGCGAAGAAAGCTAGAGACTTCTCGACTTCGCTACCGCGGAAGATGCAAGAGATGGGGATGCGAGTGGCGCTGAGTGCAAAGATGCGAGAACAGGCGCTAGGAGTCGTGGAATCATTGGAATGGCCCGGTGTGAAGACGGGCGAATTCAAGCAGAGAATTGGTTCACTGGGATGGAAACGAGTTCTTTTCATCCATGGCGCTAGCCATGTTCCGGAGAACCTGAGACGGTCTTCCAGCAATCTACGAGACGTGCATTGCACCACTGCGAAGGACGTGACCGTTTACGACCTTCTCAAGTGGCAGATGGTAGTGTTGGACATCGGCGCGGTGGACTGGTTCCACCAACAGCTCGGGAAGAAACCCCTACCTGCAGAGAACATTGGCGGTCATATCCGAGATGTCTAATATTGGTGGTGGTGAAACGCCGGACACCAGGGTGATAATGTAATAGCATGCGTTTAGCCATTTATTTCCCGTGATGTCGTTTTCATCTGAGTAGACGAGGACTTGCCCTTGCCAGGAAGAAACAAAACTAGCATACTGTCCCATGTGTGAACGGGAAGACACTACCTATTGCGCAAGCCGCCTCCGCACATCACCGTTTAGAGTGCTCAAAGAGTCTGTCTATTTGACGGTCAGATCTTCCACAACCCTCGGGACCATCCTAGTTACTTACAGACTCATTCCTTGGAACACCCACTCGTAGTTCCCTACTGCCTTCTGTTCCCGTTGAGGCGTTCTGTGGTAGACGAGTATCAGCGAGTGTACTAACCGTATGGCTCGCAAACGAGATCGTACATGGGTCTGCCCTCGCCCCGTCACAGGAACGGCATCGCTCCAATCGCTCATCTCCCCTTCCGTATCTTCGCTTTTAATGCTCGGATCAACAGACACGTCCACCATCTCTCGTGCCAACGGAATTGTTGCCTCCTCTCGTATTTCAGATGCCTGGTAATTGGTTTGCTCTGACGAAGAGGATGGAACAGCCTTGATGGGTCCTTGAGGTGTGATAGAAGAATTCGAAAGTGACAGTATTAGTGGAGGGGCGATCATGACATACGTGACCGAAGCAATGAGACATGCAGCCAGGAAGAACATAACCGTTGATACCGTGATGCTGGTGATAGGGTACTTGAACATCCACCATCTTGGGGATGTCAGTCTAAGATCTGGCACCACAAACATACCTTGACACACACCTCAGTCCACGCAACACAGCTGCCACTCGGAGCTCAGCACTAACGGTTTGTACTTCACGTCGTGAACCTAGACTGCGCCAAGCGTCTTGACGGCCTATCTCGATGCGCGCCGTGATTGGTTTTCCTAAAGTGGACAGAAGCACAGATTCCATCATTGGTAGAACCATATGTCCTGAACGGCTGCGCGGCCAGATGTTAAAGAATGGCAGAGGTGGGAGAAAGATGTACTGGGGAACATATCAGTGATGTTGACGGCAATAGAAGACGAGCTTGTACTGGTCTCGAAGACGAGATAGAAGTACCACTACGGCCGATCAAGGTCATGTTGCACATGAAGTTGCCTTGTTCACTTGAGATTTATGTTCCAGCGCGAATATCCCAACTCACCGAGGGCCTCATTGACCGGGGTTAATGGGAGAATGAGCTCCAGCTGGATGTCGTAAGTTTGAGTGCTCAAGATCAGGGATGATGGAATGCTTGTCAAAGCAAACGGGTTGTCCGAGACACTAAAAATGATTGACAATTACAATGAGAGGAGTTAAAACACATATATGTGAAGTACCCATATTGCAGATATAATTTCTCTCTCCATTGAGCTAGAGGGACATATGAACGCGAGAAGGCAATGGACGAGCCCAACGCAACACAGAACAGGACAGGAACCACGGATGCGATCAGAATGAGATGATATACTTTAGGGGAGGTCCTCGGAGTTGGGATAAGAGACAGGAGATATTCAGTCAGAGAGGCAGGCATTTTTGATCTGGGAAACCTGAACTGATGAAGCTAAACAACTGAAGCTGCTCGCCGGATTTTGAGTGAACTCCTGTCATGTGCTGACACGTGACTTTCCCGCCACAGACCGTGTGACTGGGTAACGCGTTTGTCATTCCTTCCCTTTCTCCCGACCACCACTACGCGCATCGCCTGATATTCCATCGGTATGTCCCAGGAACCTCAATCTCAACGCCAGGACGAAGAGGAGGAGTATTCATGTGGGCCTATGCTCACATCTAAACTGCAAGTCCGTCCACTCCTCTTGGGGTCACTTGACGGTGCATTTGACATAGTTGACACGACAGGAAGTCGGGATCACACCACAAGATATACGCAAGCTCACTGATGCCGGATTTCATACCATTGAATCCATTGTATACGCTCCTAAGAAGCAACTGCTTACAGTGAAGGGTATTAGCGAAGCCAAAGCAGAAAAAATTCTAGCTGAAGGTGACAGGCTTTCTTTCTGGTATTCGCCACATGGTTGCTTAGGCTTCATGTTTTAGCCAACAAGCTTGTCGATATCGGCTTCATGACTGCTTCGGAGGTACACCAGCGTCGATCAGAACTCGTCTGCATAACTACCGGCTCTAAACAGCTGGATACACTGCTAGGAGGTGTGCCATTTTGCTTGTACACTGTCATGTCCTTATGCTACAAACAGGTGGAATTGAGACCGGATCTATCACTGAACTGTTTGGCGAATTTCGTACTGGAAAATCCCAAATTTGCCATCACCTGGCGGTAACTTGTCAGCTCCCTACTAACATGGGTGGAGGTGAGGGCAAGTGTATCTGGATCGACACCGAGAACACATTTCGCCCGGTCCGAATCTTGGCGGTGGCGGAGCGGTATGGACTAAATGGACAGGAGGTGCTCGAGAATGTGGCGGTTGCGAGGGCGTATAACGCGGATCATCAACAGCAGCTCGTTGCACATGCTGCAGCCATGATGGTGGAGTCCCGGTGTGCCTTAATTACTTCTGCCTCACGGTCGCGTCTAACCCCAAATTGCAGCTTTTCACTTATGATAATCGATTCCGCCACAGCTCATTATCGCACCGATTTTCTGGGACGGGGTGAACTCGCCGCGCGTCAGAACCACCTTGGCAAACATTTGAGGACTTTGGCTCGGCTTGCTGATGAGGTGAGCTAGTGCTGAGAGCCGAAGCTGAAGGCTGACTGTCTTTTTGCCCAGTTTGGGATCGCGGTTGTCATCACCAACCAAGTAATGTCTTCCCCAGATTCCGCGATGTCTGCTTTCGCTGGGAACGAAAAGAAGCCCATCGGTGGCAATATCATGGCGCATTCGTCGACCACTCGCTTGCAATTAAAGAAGGGACGCGGAAATACTAGGATTTGCAAGATCTACGACAGTCCATGCCTACCAGAGAGCGACTGCACCTTTGCTATTCGCGCAGACGGTATTGGTGACCCAGATGAGGAGGATCGTTGAGCGCATTCTCACTTCCGGCTCTTTTGTATCCCACCGGTGTACTGCCATTGTTGTTATTATATTTCATGATCCGCCTATGGCCAAGTATTGTTCCTCATCATCCATACCAAACATTTGCAATGTATTCCATTCGCACGTTACGGACAAACAGAAGCGTAGGCTGGAATCCGAAGACCACGAAGACCATACAGCCTTGACTTTGAATGAAGTCAGGGACTCGTGGTTTATGTCAAGAGACGAGTGAGAATGTTAGCGCGCGTTTTGCTGATCCGCTCGTAAATAGCCTGCACGTCGCTTGCGGTAACACCGCTAATATCCGCCATAAGATAAGCGATCGAGTCCTTCGAATCTGAATACTGTTTTTCGACGTTGAAGTCTGAAAGAATCTCGTTAACTTGTCTAAGGACGCCAGGCTGATTGACGTGGACGTGGCAAACTCGGATGAAGTTGGTCTGGTCAGCAGTGATGGCGCGCAAGTCGACTTCGGGGAAGTTCACTGCACCCGTAGTCGAACCAAACCGGAGATACCGAATGAGCGCAGTCGACACCTCAACACCAATCATTCGCTGAGCTTCCTCGGTAGAGCCGCCGATATGAGGTGTGAGAATTATGTTGGGCAGGGCCCGCAGAGCCACCGCAAAAGAATTCAGCTGATTATCGAACGGCTGGCCGTTAGAGCCCGGCTCGTGCGGGTAGACATCGAGGGCTGCGCCAGCAAGATGTTTGGAATGGATTGAATCGATGAGTGCCGGAATGTCGACGACCGAGCCACGAGAATTGTTGATCAGGTAGGCACCTTTCTTGCACTTCGCAAGTTGCGGAGCAGAAATCATCATCTTCGTTTCTGGCAGCTCGGGAACATGCAGGGACACAAAATCGGACACAGAGAGGAGATCATCCAATGTTTCCATCTGGGAGGCACTACCGAGCGGCATGAGGGGGAGGACGTCGTAGTAAAGTACGCGGATCCCAAACGCCTCGGCGAGAACGCTCAATTGGGTGCCAATATGACCGTAACCGATGATGCCGAGAGTCTTCCCGCGGACTTCAAAGCAGCCCTTCGATACTTTGTTCCAAATGCCGTCGCGCATTTCACGCGTGCGGTCATGCAGTTGACGAGACAGGCCGATGATTTCAGCCATGACCAGCTCGGCGACCGAACGGGAGTTGGAGAAGGGAGAGTTGAAAACGGGAACGCCCGCCGCCGCTGCTGCGGGGAGATCTACCTGATTGGTGCCGATGCAGAAGCAGCCGATTACGAGGAGCTAAGGAATGAGTTAGAAATGTTCACTAACCCCAATGGGAAGTGCACACCTTAGTTGCGGCTTTGATGACCTTCTCAGTGATCTTCGTTTTCGAGCGAATTCCAATGGCGTGATACATGCCGATCTTGTCCAAGAGCTCGTCTTCCGAGAACGCACGAGTGTGAAAGTCGACTTGGAATCCTTCATCCTTGAATGCCTGCACCGCACCCTGGTTGATATTTTCCAAAAGGAGGAGACGCAGCTCGCCCGTCGCAAATGGATGAAGGACCTTCTGGGGCCGGCTGCTGGCGATGGAGCCTGGCCCTGCAAAGTAGCCGCTGGGTGGCGAGTAGGTGATTCCGCCAGAACCAAAGATGTTGCCTGCTGTTGGCGAGCTGATTGGTTTAGTGAAGGAATTGCTCGGTGAGCGGTTGGGTATGTTTATAGGTTGAGCGAGGGGCATGGTGGGAGGTGAAAGAGAAAAAGAGCAAAGAGAACAGGGGGGGGATGCAATGGGTTTTATGCAAACGGTGCGGTGAGACTCCTCCTGTGCGGCTCGCCTATGTGACCCTCAACTGTGTTAAATGGCGAAATTTAAGCTGCGAAAAAGAAGCAAATTGGTGCGCGTGAAACTAAAAAGGAACCCTGACTCAGGCTTTCCCTTTCGGCGCACACCGCCCCCCCGCCCCCGACAACTCGGACGGCCGCTTGCAGCTTGGTCTTCTCTGTCATGACTCGTCTTTTTCTCTTAGATTATGGAGCAGGAAACGTGCAGAGCCTGGCAAACTCCCTCACTGCGCTGGGGTACGAGTTTGAATGGATAAAGTCAACAGATGACTTTCACAAAGCAGATGTATGACCATTTACTTTCATCCGATATACACGTCTTCAATTCAGCATGATTCTCTTACAGAAACTCATATTCCCAGGAGTGGGCGCTTTTGGTGGCGCCATGGAAACACTCCAAAAGGCTGGCTTGACGGATCCATTGCGTGAATACATCGATTCTGGCAAGCACTATTTTGGCATTTGCATCGGGATGCAGGTGCTCTTCGCTTCTTCGACCGAGAATCCAGAAATACAAGGGCTCGGCATTATCCCCGCTCCAATAGAAAAATTCGAGTCACTCCCCAGTCGACCGGTCCCTCACATGGGTTGGAACGGTGTCCGGCTTGTTGATGAAGAAAATAAGGAACAAGAAGCAGCCTGTACAGGGTTGAGCGAGGACCTCAGCTACTACTTTGTTCACTCATATCGCGCCGCATACGACCCTTCACCACACTGTCCGTCCTCGTCTTGGGCGCATAGTGTTACTAAGTATGGCCAATGCCTTTTCTTGGCGACTGTTCGGAAAGGTAATGCATTTGCATGCCAGTTCCATCCGGAAAAGTCTGGTCCTGCTGGTCTCCAAGTGCTAAAATCATGGCTCGATGCACCGATCTCCGTTGTTAACAGCTCCTGTGCCGTACCGATGGTCTCCAAGCCGTTACAGGCGAAACCGCGGGACGGCTTCACAAAGCGGATTATCGCCTGTCTTGATGTTCGATCCAACGACGACGGCGACCTTGTGGTAACAAAGGGCGATCAATATCAAGTACGCGAAAAGGCGCCCGCCTCATCAGATGCCACACAAGTCTCTGTCTCAGGCGCAGTTCGCAACTTGGGCAAGCCCCTCGACCTCACAACGCGGTATTACATGGAAGGCGCGGACGAGATCTGCATGCTGAACATCACGTCCTTCCGCAACTCACCCCTATCCGACCAGCCTATGCTCGCAATGACATCTGCCGCCTGCGCACGTATCCATGTTCCACTCACTATCGGTGGTGGGATTCGAGACCTGGTCGAGCCTGACGGTACAAAACGGAGTGCGCTGGAAGTTGCCAGCGCGTACTTCCGCGCAGGGGCGGACAAAGTCAGCATCGGCGGCGACGCGGTGGTCGCAGTTGAGCAACTTGTGGAACGCAAGGCGCGGGGAGAACCAGCACTTACGGGCACGTCATCCATCGAGACGATTGCGCGCCCATACGGGTCCCAGGCGGTGGTAGTGTCCCTCGACCCACTGAAGAAGTATGTCGAAGCGAGTTGGGACCAAGCCGCATTTGGCCCGATCCCGGCCGAGGACGAGCTCATACACGCCAAACACGCGCTCTCACCGCTACCATCGGAAGCGGGCTCAGAAAAGAAATGGACGTACCTGTGCACGATGCATGGTGGTCGAACCGTGCGCCCTTTGACGGCTCTCCAGCTCGCAAGGGGCGTCGAGGAGCTCGGTGCTGGGGAGCTGCTCGTCAATTCTATCGATAGGGATGGCCAAGGGAATGGATATGACCTGGACTTGCTCACACTCATCCGAAAGAACGTGAGCATCCCTGTCGTTGCCAGTTCTGGCGCGGGCAAACCTCAGCACTTTGTGGAGGTGTTCGAGAAAACCGGCGTCGAGTCTGCCCTCGCTGCAGGTATTTTCCATCGGAGCGAGGTAGAGATCAGTGAGGTGAAGCAGGCATTGAAGGAATCGGGGATCCTCGTCCGCAGAGTATGATCTATATCGCATAGCTTGTCTAGAACATACAAGTAGATCCGTTACGAGAGAGGCATGTAGAAGACAAACGAAGAGAGACGCGATTAATACATGTTCGGGACAACAACAGCGGCAGCAGGAATGCGCGCGAGTGCATACATTCATACAATTCGCAGCGTGGGACGGGATGTCGCGGGGAATACAAAGTTCGAAAAAGAAGAGGAGAGATAAGCCATTTCGTCATCATCATGAACAAACAGTCCATTCTCGGCCACAGCTTAGCGGCGACTCACGCCTTTCATCTTGCTCAGCAAGCTGCGCTTCCTTCCCAACCCGGGCGTTCCGGGCGTAGCCGGGCTTTCAGGAGCATAGTGCGAGTCGAAGTAGCTATCGTTTTCATACCTGCTCGAGCCGCTCACAGGGGGTGAACGTGCTTCCGGTGGAAGGGAGGGAAGTGCCTTGTGCTTCGTCCCGTGAGGTGAGTGGACGACAACGAATCCGTTCTCTTCTGCTGGGCTCAGAGGTGGGGACGAGGAGACCTCCTGATGACGTGGGTTGCGTCCCAGGCGGCCAAAGAGGTTCATCCCGCCCTTCCTTCCAGCCGACGAGCGCCCCTCTCGCTCGAAGGAGGTATTGCTTGTGCTCGGGTGCACACCGAGCGAGCCATTGTCACGTTCGGAAGCGTAGAGAACAGGACGGGGTTCCTCGAGCGAGGGAGAGCCGCTACTGTATGCGTCGAAAGGGTTGACAGGGTCGGGCTCGTCGGGATCGGGTGCACCGACGGGAACGTTAGGATTCTCCCGCATGGTACGGATACGCTGCATGAGGGATTTGGTGCGCTTGAAGCGGGGTGGGGAGGTGCCTGGGTAGGCGGTGGGGGAGACGGGCGAGCCAAACTTCTCGTCCGCCCCTGGGGTATCCTCTTGCCTATCGCGGTACGAGTTGGGATCATAGTTTGATCCAGGAAGCATGATCTGCTGCGGCGGGGGCATGGCACGCGCGCGTCTAGCGTTGCGGGTGGCGTTGCGCTGTGCGTCGCCTTCGTTCCAGTAATCGTTGTATGCTGAACGGCCTAGGGAGCCAGAAGGGGCAGAAGCGGATGTGGGGGTGTGACCGTTGTTGATTGCCGCTCCACCAGCGGAAAACTCCTCGAACGGTTCTGGGTCAGCAATCCCCCACGCCTCTGCGACTGCGTTCCTCTTCTTGTCCGGCTGGAGCGCGGGGGAGATGAATGCCGGGTTGATGGCCACGCTGGGCATGCCTGCGCCTGGGCCTGCGGTGGCGGAGCGGACGCGCGAGTGGAGTGGGCGAGGAGGGACAGAGGCGACAGCTGCGATGGCTGCTGTGGGATAAGGACCACCGCCTGTGCTAGGAGATAGAGCGTCGAGGTCGAATACGCCCATTGGGGCGCGATTAGGGTGCCTGTTACGCGATGGAGCGACGGCGTCAAACGGACCGTCGTGGTGGAATCCTATACTGATGTGAGGCTGGGATTACGGGTGAAGAGAGATAACAAGTCGTACGTGCGTTACCGGAGTAATCCAACATATCTATGACATCTGCATGCATGCTTGCCTTTTTCTCTTTCTTGTTCCCTCTGCTCGAACTGGACATGGATTGCTGCTGATCCTGAGAATGGGACCGGCGCTGTTTAGGCGGCACGGTTGGGGTGGTAGGAGTGGTAGAGTTTGAGTGTGAAGATGGATTAGTCGGTGTGGATGTGGAGGAGGAGGAGGTAGGTGCTGCACTGTATTGATGTCGGTGAGCAATGAGAAAGTAAGCAAACGTGTTTGAATGGAAGAAGGGGACGGAGGAACGACGGAGAAAAGGATATTGAAAGGGGGGATGGGGAGGGCAGGTGACTTGTAAAGGGGGGATCGGCACGGGATTGCCGAAGCGAGAGTGTTGAGGGGTGAGGAAGGGGGGTGAGACCAAAGAGGAGGGTAAAACGCACGTCTGAGCCCTTCTCGTCCTAGGTTTGTCCTTCTTTGGCGGAGGGGCAGGAGACATCTGCACAACGGTCGCGCTCATCGTGTCTCAAAAGGGGAGAAAGAGAGAAAGAGGGAGAGAAAATGCCAAGAAAAGAGGTGGTGGGTGAGTGACAAGGTGAGCGAGTTACCTGAGCAGTCCTGTCTGAGTCCCCTCCACTCCTGTGCCGCCCATCCAGCAGTGTTTTCCCCCCACGCGCTCAGCACGACGTCAGCATCAACTTGCCCCGCTCCAATCGAAGCGGATTCAGTTTTACTTCCCTCCCCATCATCCCTTTATACTCCTTTTGCTCCGGTACAGCAGTTATCCCATTCTATAGTTCACTAATCCAAATACTACTTGTTCTGTTATCAAACGTACCAATTCGCACTATCAGAGCCCTTCTCCTCCGACCACATCGGATCCGAATCCCTCGTTCCTCCCCCGCGCTTCCTTCCACGACGACTCACTTCTCACCGTGGTCATAACATCTTCTCAACTCCTGGTCAACGGTAACGTTCTGTTTCCCCAACTATCGGTTCACATCGTCTCTCCTTCCTCCCTTCCCCCCGAAAACAGAAACATACCCACCCAAGCAATGCTACATATTCGGAATATCGTCTTGCAGTCATTTTAAGAGTGCCTCGGGTTGACCCGGTCTCCCTTCAGCCACCGTGAGCAATCAAGGCGAGAGCCGGGAGGCTGCACTGCGCTTGCCAGGGCTAGGGCAGGACATTCTGTTGTGGCTAAATAAGAACATGCTGGATATGATCTCCGTGGAGATTGCGCGTCCGGCGGATTGGACTGCGGAGGCTCGACGCATGTGTACCTTCGCAGACTTCGACACTCCGGTCCGGAAGGTGAACGGCGGAAGGGGCAGGTGCATTTCCCTGTCTCGTCAAGTCCGTCACTTGCTGCAGCTCCAACAAAAGGGAAAGATACCCGCCTTATTGCGTGGTATTGTTAGCAATAACAATACTTTCCAACAATAACATGTGCCTGGTGACCCCAACTTCTCTCAGGGCCTAACAAACGCCAAGAAGAACAATAGGGCGGTCCCTTAAACCCGTAGCCTAACAACGGCACGTGCCAGTCGTGAGGGGGCCAGTGGCTGCGATGGGAAACCGCACCCACGCAGAGCCCGACGCCCTGTGCAAGCATGCGCTTGATGGTTTCCAGTGTGCGCCCGGTTAATATGAGGCTGGGACAATTCTATGCAGGAGCGGTAAACCGTCAGAAGGACGTACAATCTCCTCCCCCCCCGCTCCCAACGTTTGTGAAGGGACGTATGCACTCCTTGCGGGGACGTTTGGTATGACGCAAAACTCGGCGCTCGGAGGAGAGGTTACCGGACGTCGGCGATGGATGTTGATCACTCGGTGGTTGAGCGCGTCGGGGATGGGGCCATGCATCAGCTTGATTAGGGCTGTGTGCAATATTGTGAAAACCGTTCTCTGTATGGAAATGACTTTGTTATGAGACGAGGCAGGTGACTTGTTATATTGCAGGGGGGGATACAGGTGGGCGCTGGTGCATTGTAATGAATAGTGGGCGCTATACAACAGGGGAAGGGGAGGGTTGTGACCGGTTATAGAGTGTATGCGCATGGATAGAGAGTAAGGGTTCGGGGGGTGCCGGAAGGGGTTGCGATATAATCGTCATAGGACGGGAGCATCGTGCGGTCGTCAAGGAGCGAGGCTGTGCGTGAATGTTCCAATTGTGGTAAGTGAGGATGGGTCAGCAGAGTAAACAGTACGTTTATCTCTTCTCTCCCCCTGGCTTGATACAATTAGCCCACGTTTGCCTCTAATAAAGAGTACTGTACCCAGACCCACTCTCTTCACGGTCTTGGTCATATCTCTTCCTCATCCACGTTGCTTACAACTAATCCTCCGTCTCTCTTCTCTCCGTCTACCTATACAACCTGCATCGTCGGCTTACCCACCACAAGCAGCGCACCCGCTTCACCGTCGCTCCCCGCAGTACAGGCATCGCTTCCGCTGCACGGCGATCAATATACTTCAACACAGCTCACGATCACCCGACCGTATACGGTATTGTACGTTGCCTTTCAAAGCAAGGCCTTCTTATACTCCTCTCCTCTGTGTCCCATCTCTTCACCCTTCGTCCCCACCAACTTAGGGCCAACTTCTCTGCTGGTTAACCCCTGTTCTTTAATCTACTTTCATCTTTGTCTTCACTGGGACATCTCACGCTGGTCGTGCGGTAGTCTCACTTCATCAATCATCCACTTCATCACCCAACACCCTGCCATATCAACCATCCTATCCCCCGTCTACCCCGATTGTCTCCTGCCTCTGTCAACACCCCTACGATGTCTTTCTCACCTTCACCTTCTCTCTCTCCTCCCTCGGCGAGGAAACGCCCTCTCCCATTCTCCCTCCGCATACAGACATCCCCAGGCGCAGCACCTTCTCCCTTTGGTCTCGGCGGCATGTCCTCCCCTGCAGTGTCACTTCCCGCACAGGGTATCGCTGCCATGCTGGCAAACGACGCTCCCCCATCATCTGCCATCGACGGGACCTCACACGCCGCCTTGCTCCCACCATCATTCCCGGCGCTGGCGCCGCTCCCCCTTCCTCCACACCTCCGCATCCTCGCCAACATCAACTCCCAGTGCTCCCCTGCATCGAGCACTGTCCCTTCCCTCGTTGAATCTCCCTCCACCACACCGAGCACAGCTACTTCCTTGTCTTCCTTGCCCTCGCTCGATCCCTCCCGCACTCGCCCCTCTGGCATAGTAACCCGAAATGCAAAGAGGCTCTCGATATCAACCAAGCCATCCTGGCCCTCATTACAGCTCAACGCTGCTGTTCCCCATACCGCAGCAGAACGCAAACGGTCAAACTCGGTGTCCGTCGTCCTGCCTTATTACTCCACCACTTATCAAGAAGAAGAGGAACACGACCCTCCGTATCCTAATGGACCAGTCGAGATTCTTCCCCGTATATGGCTCGGGCATGAGGGTCATGCGAGGGATGTTAAGCTGTTACGAGAACGCGGGATCGGCTGGGTCCTGAACGTTGCCAAGGAGGTTGATCTGGAGCTTGGCAAGGAGTGGCAGGTCCTTAGGTTGGAAGATCTCCCGAGGCCACCAGAGGATGGTATGGAGGTAGATCAGGAAGGAGGGGAAAAGCTGAGGTATCTCAAACTGCCGTGGAGCCATGGGCAACAGGATCTCTGCGAAGTGGGGTTCGGACGTGCCATGCGATTTATCGACCACGCACTCCAGGGCGGAGAGAGCGTGCTTGTTCAGTGCGTTTTCCTCCCCTTGACTGGAGCAAACAGTAACTGACTCATCCTAGTTGCCAATGTGGTGTATCGCGCAGTGCAACGCTAGTGATGGCGCTGGTAATACGTGCTGGGCATCAGGCGAGGATATGTGGCGATCCTGAGCATCCTCTGCGGAGGATTGCGAGTCATAACGATGCGTATGAGTTTGTACAAGGGAAGAGCAGATGGGTTGGTCCCAATATTGTGTATGCGCTGTTGTTCTGGTGGACGACGTCTTACTGATTTGATCATCAGGCTTATTAATCAACTCGTGGAATATAGCAAGAATCTGCGCACCATCGCTGAGGCAGAGGACCCTGCAGGTCGCAGTCGCACCACATCAGAGTGCACCGACGCCTCCCAGCTCGCACACCAACCATCCCCGCCTTTCTCCTCTTCTGATTCATCCGCTTCCTCCTCTCCTGGTCTGCATTCCCCCCCTACGCCAGATGGCTGCGTCTCCCCCGAGCTTGGCCCAGACAGCATCGAGGCGATGCTGCTCGATCGGAAAATGGAAGCCCAATACTCCAAACTCTGCCAACAGCGAGCCGCCGCTGCTCTTCTGACACATCCGCACGTGGAGGTTGTGGACTCCTCTGTCACTGGGCTCAAGCTGCCCGTGCCCGTGCCTTCGCCTATGACCGCGTGCCTAAGCCCGGTCTCTCCCATGTCTACAACGAGCGATCGCCGAAGTCGGACAAGATCGGCGAGCGCGGAGAGCGCTCTAGCCCCTAAGTCACCTTGGAACATTGGCATGCTTCTTCGAGTCGAAGAGGAGAGCTAGCTCTGTCACTCTAGGTGTCTCTTCCGTTACCCTCCACCACCATTCTTCCTTCACCTGCTGTATCAGTTTCCCCGCCCAATCTCGCTTTTGTGACATCCTCGGCTCCCTCCGAGCAGCGGAAAGAGTACGTAGATGGGCTGGTCCCTCCCATCTGCATTTCGTATAGCGGCTTCGTTCTCCCCCCTTCCTCCCCTCAGGCACTGTGCTGAACGGACACGAGAAACTGGGCACCCAAAAAGTGGAAGATCTTTTCCCCATATCTTTCAAAATGTTAGCGTCGGGGGTGTTTGTTGCCCTAGTTGGCGTTGTTGTCTGTTGTATGTAGGATACCAGCTGGCGGAGTTTGTCCGTGGCCAATGAACTCTGTTAAACCTTACGCTGTGCGGATGTGGTGAGTGATTGCGGTTGCATGATGGGACGTGTTGTGCGTGTGCTGGCCGCATCTTAGTCTATCCACTCTATGACCATTGATGGCTGCGGTGGGCGGGTATCGCCGCAATGTCTTCCCACTTGGCCGTCATGCGCTCTTCTCATCATGCTCCGATGTTTGAACGGATGTGAACGAGCAATATTATTGCGGCAGGACGAGATACTTCCTCGATACAGGTGGCATGGGGAGGCTGTGGTGACTTTCATTTGTATGCCACTCCCTGGCAGACGATCGGGGTTCCTGATCGGCTTGAAGTACTGTACATATTCCCAGACTGGGAAATAGACATGAGTACCTGTTACTATTTTGAGCTCGTACAGAATTTGTATGCGAATTAGATATACTTATGAACTCGTTTGCTATTATGAACTCCTACGGGATTTGTATGCCAACCGGATATGCTTATGAGCTCGTATTGCGGAGATGCTATCAGCCTGTGTCCAAATAGCCATGGTGACGGGTTTTACAAAACGCCACAGTATGCAGAATGTGCGGGCTTCTTCCTCCCCGAGGCTGGTCAGCCGAGTGAATCGAACGTAGACAAGTACTCTTAGTGATCAAATAGACGACGATGGCCTGTGTCTCTCGAATTAGAACTCGTATCATAGCGAAGGCCTGATATTAATATTCTATAACTAGAAGCAGCATGAGCCCATACCTTCGTCAATATATATGCATAGCAAAAGTAGGGAGCTCATATCCCGCTCATGTATACTCGGACGCGGCGCAATGGCAGGTCCTGACCGTCGTTTCATCGTCCATGCTGGCAAGATGTCTACGTATTCCATCGCATTTCTCGAGCATACTGTTTAGTCACCTGGATACGCTATCAATACGCGCATATGTCTGTCACGTAGAACGAGCATGGCCTCGCCAGACTCGCCCAGAGGGACACTGCTGCTGCCGAAACCTGATGAAGTTTGATCTGAATCTCGTCGAAAATGTGGAACTATGAATCGATCTGTTGCTCCCTCTGCGACTGCTCATGTGTGCCGGTGTGCGTGTATGTGCCATATCATACAGAAGGAATACCTAAGGCGTGATCGGAGCTCGCTCTGCTGTCTGAGACGAGCAACTCGAAGCATTCCAAGCTCGTAGGCATATGTCGATGGTCACGTTTTGATGAACGAACCTGTTTACTGTCTGGGATGATCCAAATGGACCCATCTTGAGCTTGTGCGTGCATATATATGGCGACGCTTGGTTGAACGTGTTGTTTACACCCCTTTCTTTTCCCGTCCACCTTCATCTTCTCCCCTTCCTGGCCTCCTCCCTTGCCGCTGAGTACAAGTCCTCTCTCTCGCATCGTCTTGTTTGAACATTCTAATCATATCTATCTCTGCGTATAGCTGTCCTCGCACTAAACCATCCATCGCCCCGAACAGACGCGTCATCGGCCGTGCCCGACTCGATCAGTGCCACCTGCGTGGATGTTCGAGTACGTACCTCTGCATACCTCTGCATGCGCCATAGTTGAGATACCTGATAGCATATGCCAGCACACATCGATACGAGGCTTCTTCCCAATCCTACCGACATGTGCGACGACCTCAGCTTGCCCCGCAGGTGCATCCTGTGTTTCCGATGACCCGGTCGCTCATGAGCTGCTTCTGCCCAGCCGCTATCTCGATCACACTAGTTATCCGACCGAATTGAATAACGCGCTAGTGCAACAGGGCATCTGGTGAGATGTTGCCAATCCCGCCACATGATTGTTCTGGTTCTTTTTACAGCGCTCAACAGTACTGACATGCTTCTTCCGGCTGTCAACCGCTGTGAAGACCCGAGTCATTGATACTGTACCGAGGCTCCTTCCCAACACTCGAGATAGGTGTGACAACATGAACTGGGTAGACAGGTGAGTCCTCATGTTTCCGACGATCACCGGGTCACTCATGAGCTGCTTCTGTCCAGCCCTAGTCGCGATCACACTCGTTATTCAACCGAAGAACGTATTGGGACAAGAGGGCATCTCGCCAATTCAGTCACAGGATTGTCCTGATTCGTTTTGCAGCGCTCAGCGGTTCCGGCATCCTTATTCCCACCAGCAAGTAACAGACATGAAGATTGCGCTAGGTGCCAAGGCGAGCCTCCGTGTTTCCTACAGACGACCCGGCCGCACATGATCTTCTTCTGTAAGGCACTTGCCCGACTCAGGTCGTTATTTCTCTCATCCATTTCTAAGGACGACTCACTTACTAACAAGATTTGGAACATTCTACCTACCCACGGGCGGACGCCGAAGAGATAATCCGTGACGGGATCCAGGTGAGAATAGGAAACGCTGTAACACACTCGCTGACCTATGAGGCAGCCACATCATCGAAATGGACAACGGCGTTGCGTCGGACTTCGCCGTCGCCGGCTCGGTCGAGCAGCGGGCCTTTGCTATTCTGAGTCAGCTGTGCATGTTTATCTCCCAGTCTCGGTCACACCTTCTTCCTGGTGGTAGACGGTCCGGCTGCTCATGAGCTTCTTTTGCTAGTTCATCGGGTTATGATTCTCTCATCCCGTTCTGGAGGACATCTCGGTGAGATACTACCCCCGGTCGAACATAACAGTGGTCGGCCCTGACACGATCGACACGAACAACAATTGTTGCATCGCATCTCACCCTTGGATTTTCACCCATATTCGTGCGTTTCTTTCCTAATTGGATATGTCCTGCAATTGTCCGTTGGTCCAACTCGCTCAGATCATGTCCACTGGACCAATTGCTACCGAAATACGAACCACTCAGCACCAGGTTCGTTCGCTTCATCCCGATGAAGAACCTGTTGCGATGTTTCTGTGAGTGGAGAGCTTCTTGTGGGTGTCAGATATCGCACTCATTGTCTGCAGCGTGGACCTCACATGGTTAGAGGACGAGGGGAGGAGAGGTAAACGCTGACGTCCGCAGCTGAACGATATCATCGCCGTTTAGACTATCACTGGGAGCGTACCCTCCATTGCTGCCACCATCGTGCCGGCGCCCGGTTCTCAGCGCGTACAACCACCTCGCTCATCAGCACGTTCTTTCTCGCCGACTGACTCCGGAATATACAGCACTCTGACGCCGTGAGTCGTAGGTGAATTGGATCTCGACTTCAATCGTTGGAGTAAACAGTGGGCTAATACCCATCCATCGCCCCGAACAGACGCTCTATGGACTGTGACCGAGGCGATCATCTAGAGTGCCACCTACAAAGCATAAACAGTGAATATTTGAGTACGTCCCTTGGCATACATCTGCATCTGTCACACGTGAGATACCTGATAGCACATACTAGCACTCACCGATACTGAGGATCCTTTCCAATTCTGGTGACAGGTGTGACCATCTCAGCCAGTTACGCAGGTGAGTATCCGTGTTTCCGACAAACGATGCGGCTGCTCATGACCACCTTCTTCCAGGCACTATCTCGATTAGGATTCATATCCTCCCGAATTGGGGAACACACGTTGCTTATAGAGAGCATCTGGTGGGAAGTCGCCAGTCCCGTTACATGAGCGTCCTGATTCGGTTCACAGCGCTCAACAGTACCGACATGCTTCTTGCTACATATGCGCCAAGTTGAGGATCCGTGTTTCCGACAAATGGCCCGGCCGCTCATGAGCTTCTTCTAGCTGGCCCCTGTGCAGTCTGGGACGACTCACTCTAAGCTCATGTGCATACATGTATGGTCACATTTTGTTGAATGCGACTGTATGCTGTCTGGGATGATCCAAGTCGATGCATTCCAAGGGCGGGTGCGTATATATAGGTGAACGTGCTGTCTATATCTCGCTCTCTCTTTCGTCCACCCGCGCCCTCGTCATCCCCCACATTGTCGCTGAGTACATTTCCATCTACCCTACTACATTAACCTCGGGTGCGGACAGCTTACTCTGCCCCATTAGACGATCTCCGGTGTATCAGGCCGAACCCAGAAGCTTGATCGACTGATGCCGGCCCTCGATCATCTTTGAATGCCACTCACGGATCACAGAGTGGACCTTCGAGTACGTACTTCCGCATACTTCCCCATGTATCATCCGTGAATCATGTGATAGGATCTCTCAGGGCTCACTCATTCCAAAATCCCTCCCTCCGCTTGCGACAGCTGTGATGACCTGAGCTGGGTACCAAGTTATGTCTTCGTACTTCCAATCCACAACTGACTCGCTGCACCTCTCGAGCCATTGCCGTGACTTCATCGGCATCCCTCCAAATGAGGAGAACACGCTACTCGGAGAAAGAAAGGAGAGCGATGTCGTCAATCCCGTTACATTAGCGTCCTGATCCAGCATCGCAACGATCTTCAGTGCCGATATCCTGCCTCTCATTGGCAGCAGTGGCGAAGCCCCGATCTAAACGCCCTAGCGAAACTGACTAGATGGGCTGATGTCCTGTTATTTCGTCCCTCAGAGGATCGACTCGATTGCTGAGCAAGATCCGGATCATCTCTACCTATCTACGCGCCGACATAACGGGGGATAGAAGTCTTACTGACGCTCACAAATGAAGTAGGTACACTGTCCATAAGAACAACACCCGGTACGTCGGATGTCGCCGTCGATATTCTGCCTGAACAGCTAACCCTCGTATCTTCAATCAGACGACCATGTTTCCTGGTCTTGTATCTCCCGCACTGACCGGTGATGCCACTTGTCCAGATCGCATCCGTTGAACCGATTGTCCCAGAAATTAGGATCTCTCAGTACGCAGCGCTATCCCCGTCCACGCTCTAGAATCACGGGCGACGAAGAACCAAATCCGCGCTGCTGGTGAGTGAAGAGCTTCCTACGGGGGTCGGATATCGGACTGATTGTCTGCAGGATGGACCGCATATACTTTACAAGACGAGGTTCGCGCCAATGTCGGGAGGTCAGCTGAACGGTTACGCCGTCGCTTAGAGTGTTCTGTACACTGCTTTGATCTTCCTGCTGAAGTGCAGGTCTCAGTGGATGCTGTTTGCTGTTCTGCGGGGATTTTACGGAGCGTCTCCTCTGTTGACGACCTGCTCGACTTGGCTACTCCTGTCTGTTCGACCCCAGGAGGATCCCGAACCCGAGGAGAAAGCCGAACCATACAAGCATTTCACCGTTCTGCAATCGTAGGCATGTTACCGTGCAACCTCCTCCAACTGCTGATGGCGCTCAACAGCCTGACTCCACTACTCAACCATCCATTACCACAGGTTCAAGAAGGTCTGACAACGTTGCATGCGCTTCTACTCCGCATCTGCCCCGTTTCACTACCGTTGATGCTCTCCAACCTTCTACCCCTCTCCCTCTCCCCATACCCGGACATGTCCGACCGAGCACAATCCGCTCTCGTCGAATCCCTCTTCAAATCAGCCACTGCCGTCGCCCATCTTCGGATCACGACAACCAGGCTTTCCTACCTCCCCCGATATCTTCCCTCTTGCCACGCTAGCAGATGACGCCTCTCCATCATCTGTCATTGATGGGGCCTCACGCGTCGCCTTCCCCCCACCAGCTATCCCATCACTGGCCCCCCTCCCGCTGCCTCCACACCTCCAACCTCGCCAACATCAACTCGCAGTGCTCCCATTCAACGAGCGCCGTCCCCTCCCATCTCCCTCAACCAGACCGAACATAGCCATGTCCTCTACTTCCTCGTCGTCCTTGCCCTCGCTCGACGCCTCCAGCACTCGCTCCTCGGGCATAGCAACGCGCACTGCAAAGAAGCTTTCGAGATCAACCAAGCCATCCTGGCCCTCATCACAGCTCAACGCTGCTGCTTCCCATGCCGCAGCAGAGCGCAAACGGTCAAACTCAGTCTCTGTCGCCCTGCCTTACTACTCCACCACTTACAAGCAAGAAGAGGGACACGACTCGCTGTATCCTAATGACCGGTCGAGATCCTTCCCCGTGTCTCGCTCGGACATGAAGGCCATCCGAGGGACGTGAAGCTTCTGCGGAAACGCAGGGTCGGTTACGTAGCTGAAGAGGAATGTGGAGCTTCGAGACGATTGACAAATCCTGAGCCTCACGACCGGCTGGCACCCATGTTGGTTGGAGACCGCATCGAGGAGCACGGAGACAATACATCTGTTGAGGTGTAACAAGCGTCATACGCGCTGATCAATGAGGTATCCACGCTATCACACGCATAACAACGTTGCATTGGAGCTCGTCCTTGCATTTCTAACCGATAAGTGCGTCTCTTCCGTGGTTGCATATATCCTGCACTGATCGTTGATCCAACTCACTCATATTATGGTCACGGAACCGATTACTACCGAAATACCAATTGGTCAGCACCTGCAGGTAGGTATACATACATCCACGGTAACAGGTTCATTGGCTTCATCCCCGATTAAGAACCTGCTGCGATCTTCCTGCAAGTGGTGAGCTTCTTACGGATGTCAGATATCACACTGACTGTCTGCAG